CTCAGAACTCGGGAGGACGAGGCACAAAGATCGCTGCCAGTTCAAGGCCAGCCTAGGTTACAAAGTGGGTTCAAGGCCAGCCTGAACTGCATAGTGAAACTCTGTCTTATAAAAGACCAAAAAAAAAAAAGAAACCGACTCACAAATGGTAAAAATGCGTTCTCAAAAATAAATAACTAAATGTGTTCTCATATTTACAACACTTAAATCATAAATTTGAGGCTCCTGCCTCAGCTTCCCCAGTGCTAGGATTATAGGCATGTGCCATCATGCCCAGCTGAAGCACAAATTAATAATAATAATAATACTTAAGAGTTCCATGGTTCATACACCCTGGCTAATCAACCAAAACCACCATTTACTAACTGGCTTTTCCCTAAAATTTTATTCCCTTCTCTGACAGATTTACAAAGCTCCATTTCTTTCCTCTTTCCTCTTACTCCCCAGCCTAACTCAGACAGCAATCAGCAGTGACTCAAGGAAAGTAAAAAACGGATCTAAACACTGCCTCAAAAGCAAGAATTAACCTAGATTACATCAATGTTACCGGTTTGTCAATCAGATCAAATCAAACTTTTCCAGAAATTTCACTCCTGCCAACTGTGTCCGCTGGGCCCCACTGGCTCCCACCTTCTTAAGTCTGTCTGGCTTCAACAATCACTCTTTCTCTTACACTTCGGGCCTCACCAAAAGGACAATGCCACAGACATCAATATTTCAAGTTGCTCTTTCCTCCTAAGAAGTCATTGATTGAGCCAATATTTCCAAGTTCTAAGTGCCTGGTTCTGTGCAAAGCACTGGTGCTGCTGACCTGAAGCTCTAAAGAGTAGTGGAACACTAAGCTTGCTCTAGCAGAGTCTGTTCTGCTCCAAGTCAAGAATTTACTCCTAGGAAACCACCTACAACTAAGCTACAGCTAGAGCCAACTACAGGTGCTCCTTGTTTAAAGAACTACCTCATTAACAACATCCATGCTTACAATTAAGGAGGTATGTTTGGACTTGCAGCTCATCTTTTTTTGGGTACAATTCTGTACTTCTTTTCATAGAGCCTCAATGTCTTTTTTCGTGTGCAGTACACTTTGTGTATGCAGTACTGTAATTTTTGATGATTGTATAGTATTGTAGTTTTATGTTGTTTACTGCATGTCAGGTTATGCAAACAAAAGCAAAGTCATCAAATTGGGAGTTTTCTTTGATCATTTCTTTGTTCTGAGTGTATGTTGTCTGTTGTCTTTGTTTTGTTTTTAAGACAGGATCTCAATTTGTAGCCCAGATTGCCTTGAATTCTCAGCGACCATTCTGCCTCAGCCTCCTGAGTGCTGAGATGCCAGTGGATGACAGGTGTGCACCACACCCAGATTCTTTGTTTTGAATATTGTAATGTATAGATTCCATACAGTTACTCATTTAGTGACCAATTTATTTAAGGGCCTAATAAAAGGACCATAGCTGGGTCCTTAAAGAAAAAATGTCTGTATTCCTGAAGGTCAAAGAGTAAGATTCAAAATATTAAAATTCATTTCTCTTGCAAGAATTGTGATTATGAGGTGCAAAGTAAAAATTCTCATAGTACCAAGGCCAGTTTTTAGTTATTTCTAGATTTCGCTCACAAACAAACCCTTTCTTTTCATAGCTCTATTAGCACTGCCAAAAATGCACAACTCAGAATAAGCACTGTTTCAAGTATCACCCACTACGATAAGCAAAGCAGAAAGTCCCCTTTGCCACTTTTTTCCTGTTCAAACAGTGCCACTTTCAAAAGTGGTTTGCTTACTGCAAATTGTGTTCCCAAAATCTCGGATATGCTGCTGTGCAGTATCCAACTCAGCACTGTGAAAGGGGAAGTCATGGATGCTACACAAGGTTGTAAAGGGCCTCACACCCAGCAATGGAGGGGTCTGGAGGGGTCCCCAAGGAAGTGAGACTTCAGGGATGAGTAGGAGCTATTAAGCAATAAGGGAAAGGGGAGAAAGTTGTACCAAGGCAAAGAGAATTCATTTACAGACAGGAGAATGAACATGCGTTTCTAGGAACAGAACACAGCAGGCAAGAGGGAGGAAAATGAAAGGGGAAACAAGCCAGAGACAGGACATGTGGCCCTGGGGCTGGCAGAAGGCAGGGATTTCACACTATGAGCTCGGGAAAACCACTCAGGGTTCAGTAGAGAAACTAAATAACCCTGTTTCATCTCAGCTACCTCTCCTCATTTCTCTCAAGCTAGGCTTCTTAAAAAGAAACTGTACAGTGCAGACTGCTCATCTGTCTTCTTCCCACCTTCTCCACTCTGGGCATTGGTAATACACTGAAAGCTGCTCTCTGTGAGGTTTTTAATCTGTTAATCTTCTGGCTGCTCAACTCAATGGGCCCTTTCAGCCTTGCCCTTATTTTGTCCGCTCTGCAGGATGTGGCCTGGTGGGCTGGTAATACTCCTCCACAGTTCCACCACTGTGCTCCCCTCTTCCCTGGCTGTTCCTCTCCAGCCCTCACTGCAGGCTCCTCTCTGCTCCCTCTTAAATGCCCGGTCAGTCAAGATTCTGTCCTTGGCCTTCAGCACTGCCAAACCCTGACTTCCCTGGGTGATCTCAAGCCTCAAATACCACATAGGTGTTCATGTTTTCCAAAGCTGTATTCACAGCTCTTCCAAACTCAAAACTTACACAATTAGTTGTGTTTCAATGTCTCACAGGTACCTCAAACAAAAAAAAGTTTCTAAATCAAGTATATCACTTTAACATTTCAAATCTGTACTTTCTCTTCATCCCTCCTGCCATGGCCTAGACTGAGTAGCTCAACATTTCTTTCGTTACACTCCAACATCTGCCCGTTCCCAGCCCCATCCAACCAATACTTGCTAGAATGATCTTGCCAAAAAGCAGGTATGACCGAGTCCCTATCAACCAGCTTTTGATCTGACCCACAAGAACCTTCTAGCCCCAGCCTCACTCTCCAGCACTGCAACCTCGTACCAGACTACAAGGCTGGTGGTTTTGTCAACACTGCAGTCTCTGGACCTGCACACACTTCTCCTGGAATGCTAATTCTCCCCTTCTGCCTTCTCTTCTGCAACAGGCCAACCTGTCCTTTAAGACTGAGGTGAGGCTGCCCTCCTCCAGGAACTCTCAAGAACTCCCAGAAGCACTTGGGGACTGCTGAATGTGCTCTCCACAGCATGCTGTAATGTAGTGAATCTTGGGCACGTTTCCACCTGCTTCCCTACTGACTACTTCGGAGCCGGGAGGCAAGAGAGCAGGAGCTGGGCTTTTAGAGGTACCAAACCCTGGCAAATAACAGGAAACACAGACTTGCACAAGTCTAGAGCCATAGTGCTGGAGTTAGGAGCTCCTCAGTGGTATTCTCTGGGAACAGGCAGAGGCCCAAGGCAAAAGCTGGCAGAAGGGTGGAAGCCAGAACATATTTGTGGAATGGCTGAGTAGATGTTCTAGAGTCACAGAAAACAGCAAACTCTTCCTGGTTTTAGCAGTCTGTGACCTACTTTTACTGTAACAGTGTGCATGGCAAAATTCCTACCGACCAAAGTGATGCTGGTTCTTCCACTAGGAAAAAAACAATAAAACAAGTCTCAACCAACCAGGTACACTACAGGACTCTACACAGCAGCCCATGGAAAGGTTTCCTAAACTTGAAATTGGATGTCAGTTTTCGCGGGTAGGAGGTACAGTATATGCATTGTGGCCAGAAAAACCACAGGTTTCCACGAATCTCAAAGATGTGAGCCACCCGGTGTGGTGGCTCATACCTGTAATCCCACCACTACAGAGGCTGAGGCAGGAGGATCACTGCAAATTCGAGACTAGCTTGGGCTATAAAGATAACTCAAGGCCAGCCTAAACTACAGAGACCTTGTCTCAAAAAGACAAGAAAAAAAAAAAAAAAAGTTAATGATACTCCCTCCCACTGCTTAAACCACATTGCTTTTAAAATGTTAAACTGAATTAAACTGTAGTGCTCAACCTTCCCTTTCAATTTGTATTTGGACATATCAGTCATACCTTAGAGACAGCAGTCCACTTACATGTAAATGGAGAAGCTCGCCTGAAGATTCTCACTAGATCTCACATTTAAGATTTTCTATATTTGGAAGAGTCTTTATCAGCATTTTTTAAGAGCCAAAAAGCCCAGGCAAGCGTGCAGATAGATGTACTGGACAGGAAAAAATTAACACTGGACCATCACAGTGAAGCAAACGCTTTTTATGGTCATCTAATTAAATGGAACGGGTAACACCCAAGATCATCCAGATTTACAGGAAAGCTTTTTATCTCGGTAAAATGTTAATGATTAAACAGTGGGGAATAAACAGTTTAAATCACCTTTAAAGAGATAAGGACACCAGGTGTAATGCTAACACTCAGGAGGCTGAAGCGAGAGGATCGCCACGAGTTGGAGGCCAGCGCAGGTTACACTGTTACTTCTAGAGTTAGGGTTAGCCTGAACTACACAGTGAGACCCTATCTCGAAAAAAACATAAGGAAGCAAACCAAAAAGAAACTAAAACTGTCTCGAGCGTCGGGCTCGACCGCATCTGCATAGGACAAGCGGGCGAGACCGCGGTAGGTTCCGGGACCCGCGCGACCGGGCACCTTAGGGAGCCAGGCGAGCCGGCGGGTCCGAGGCTCGCGGGGCAGCAGCCGGGGGAAGGGGCGACGCCAGCGTAAGCGCGCCTAGCGGGGCCACAGGCCTCCGCGGGCACCAGAACACCGCGGACGCTGGTCCTGGGACGCCGGCGGGGGCCCTCACGAGTGCCCTAGTCCTCCCGCGCCCCACACCGTCACTTCGCCGCGTCGCACTGCGGGGACACCCCGGCTGCGCCTGCGCGAGGAGGACGCCCGCCTCAGCCCCCGGCCGGGCCGCAGCCCGTCCCGGCCCGCGCGCGCCTCCGACAGCCGCACGCCACTTCCGTCCGCGCGGGAGGCGCAGACGCGGCGGGCGCGAGCCGGGTCCTCATACGAGGGCAGCCGCCGCGGGCTCGCGACTCACCAGATACAGCGGCTGCCAGCGACACTGTGCATCCAGCTCCTCGAACTCCCGCTCAACGGTGGCGGGCATGGCGCCTGAGGCGCCGGCGGGAGCACAGCAGGCGCAGCAGACGGGCTTGGGCCCCGCGCGAACAGCGAGCTGGCGCAGCGGCGCATGCGCGCCCCGTGACCGCCCCACCCCGCCCCTGTCGAACCGCGGCCCGGGGAAAGTACCTGAAGCGTCGCACGTCAGCGCGCAGCCTGGGCGCCAGAGCAAGCCGCACAGCGGGGGGGGGGGGGACGGGGGAGGGGGGAACGTAGGAAGCAATATCGAATTTGGGGGCGGGGCATAGGCACCAGGTGGGATGGGCGGGGCCTTGTGCCCCGCTCTCCTCCAGGCCCCGCCCACTGATCTTTTCTTCCTTCTCAGTCCAACACTGGAACTTTTTTTGCTACCCGTGTCAGTCCCTAGGGGAATAGCCAACCAGTGTGACTTACGAAAAAACAAGACTCTCTCACCTTGCTCAGGTCTTAGGATGGCGCACTGCTAGTGAACTCACATTCAGGTGAAAAGAAGAATCATCCCAGCACTCTGGGAGGCTGAGGCAGAAAGATAATTTTGAGAGGAGCCTAGACAATATGGCAACTTAATGAGACACAGTTTCAAGACTTTAAAATAAAAAGTATGGAAATGGCAGGGGTTGTAGATCCACAGGGAGGCCCTGGGGTCCTACTCAGAATTTAGTTTCTCTGCCCACCAAACACATGTCATATGTCACACACTCACTCACAGTTGACCAGAGCACCCATTGCCCAAGGAATTGCTGCTGGGGCATTGAGGTCCTCGGGGCAGAAGAGTGTCCTCGAGCAGGTAAAGCAGTGACAATGCTGACCAAGAATTCAGGGGCTTGGGAGCGAGAAGATATTGGTAGCTGAGATGGACAGTCAGCAGATTCTTTGCACCAGTGGTAGTGATAACGTCCGTGGCCACTCGCAAAGACGTTTAGCACACATCAACGCTCACCACTAACACTTATCCCTCGCTGTCCTGGCTTTGGAAATTCTGTCGGTGAATGTGGTTGCTTAGATTTGAAGGCATAGTTTTTCTGATATCACCCTGAGAGGTCAAATTGAGGCCACTGTGGGAACCGGCAAACGGAGTTGAGAGTGGGACTAGCAGGGAGCCCTGCATCAACCTGTAGTGAGTGAGCAGAACAGGGACCCTTCCATAGAGTAGGATGCTTCAGCAAAGGACATACTGGGACCAGGCAGACTTGCCGGAACAGGACACTGCAGTGACTTTAGTCGCATATTCCCCTCTCAAGCGGGATTGGTGGGGAGTGCCTGGCCTGGATGACATAAAAGCTAGTGCTGATTTAATATCATCTTGTTTTGAAGTCCCATCAAGCTTTTATTCTTCTGTCTCCATCAGTCTTAACAGGTTGTATCTTATTGGATTTTACTATATGTGATAATATAAGCAAAAACTTTTATTCCCTATGTGTTCCTATGTGTATGTGCATGTATGCCCCTGTGTGCATTGCCCATGTGTACATGCATGTGTGTATGTGCATGCAAGTGTGTCCTGGTATGAGTGTATGCATGCACAAGCATGTGTGTCTGTCGTGAGTGTCTAGAGCACTCTGAACTCCGGGCAAGGTAAACACGCACGCCTTGTCGGGACACGGGGGGTACAGCGCTTGGAAAAGAAAGACAGGAGAGACACCTTTGCTGTCTGCACCGCGTTACACTGCACTGCACTGCACTGTACGCACAATCTTTATTTTAGGATTCATATATAGTAAACCCGATCAATTCACAGAGCCCAGATAATTAAGTAGTGAAAAGGCATTCTTTGTGGCAAGCTACAACGTGACAGACTACAATGTTTATTCTAAAACTATCTAAGTGAAGTAAATAATCACAACCAGTTCTCACAACTTCTCTAGCCCAGGAAGAAATTCATTAGCTCAAGAATGTTGTTAATTTGTCTGCTGTTAGTGTCACAAAGGGTGGCCAGCCACTTCCTCAAGACTTCTGCAAAACAAAGCCAGCTCACAGTATGGATTCCAGAGGGTGAGGGCTCACTGAGAACGGGCATTCCCGTTCTACCTCCTTCTCGCATACCAGGGCGGCTATTGTAAATTGCAGGTTAGAGGGGGTTGGGCCTACAAAGTGACACCTCATCCCCCACACTTCCTTCCTTTTTATTTTTTAACAACAATTTCCATAAGATCAGGTTATTAATAGCATTTCGTCTTATGCAGTAAAAATACACAAGAACTATGGCAATGAGAACTATAATTAAACTAAGTCCCATGCCACTAAAAGTGTGGGTAATGCTCTGCCAGATTCCTTTGGAATCTAATCCTTTCAAAGATTGAGCAAGCAATTGCGCGAATTGTGCTAGAGATTCATCATCATTTTGCTTTGCAAAATCCTTGTCAATTTGATTATGCAAAGATTCTATTTCCTCCTGGGCAGAGGTGTTTCCATTTAAATACATTCTAATCATTTCCCATTCATGTTCTGTCTGATTATAAGGTCGTTGGGTTATACAGAAAGTAGTTGAATTCCAATCACATTTTAAAAACACTTGATGCTGAAGAGCCAATATTTTTCTACCCATCCATTCAACTGTTTGTTTAAGGAGGTCTATTTGTTGTTGTAGTCTGGCGTTTATCTGCCACTGAGTTAACCAAAGTTCATGAGAATTCTCATGCCATAATTCGACAACATGTTTTTCTTGCAAAGAGGTTTGTAAAGCTACTCCTGAGACTGCTGCTAGAGAGGCTACAGTTATCAGACTTAACAGTACAGCAACCACTATTCCAATAAATCTTTTTGTACGTTTTAACAGATGTTTAAAAAATTCAGTAGTAACAGAAATTACCGGGTCTTGAGACCAAGGTCGAGTTAAATTTACAGGCAACCAAATATGAGTTTTTTGTTGTAACAGCATAACTGTATAAGGCTTAGTGAAATTTAGTGTGTTATTTAAGCATGTAAACAATTGACAATTTAAACAAGTACAAGAAAAATGTGTAAAATTAAAAGTTCCCACTAAAAAGACATAAGGCAGAGGTGCACAAACAGTAATATTATACATTTTAAACCTAGTAAAATTATAAGTAGTAGATACAGATCGACTAGTCCCTGAATATGAAACATTGTACAAGGTTACAGGTTGCATAGCGGCTGGGATCTTCCAAATATGATTTTGAAGGTGATGAGGGTATTCTTCGGCTGCAACAGCAGGGTTAGCGATTCCACCATCTCCCCACCACAAGAGAGCCGTCTTTTGTTGAAATATAGGAGCTCCGTCAGTTATTTTCTTTGGATCTGGAAGACTATACACAACAGAGAGATTACATCTTGTCTCATTCCATTCAGCACATCCATTAACGAATTTTCCAAATGGTCCCCAAATAATATACCCATCAATATTTTTAGCAAATTTTCCCATACATAGTTGCCAAATTATGGGATTATAAGAAATATTTTTATAAGTGAATTCAGGGCATACAGGAAATGTATTTGTATCAGGTGCTGTTAAATTTCTCCAGGTAACATTAAAGGTTTGAGCAGCCAAGGCTTGAAGCCTTGTCCTTTTGTTGCCTGCTTTTATTCCATGTTGAATCCAATACTGCCATCCCAGAGGGATGCAAGGCGGTTCCCCAATGCAAATAGGCCTTTGATTACCATAATAAGTAAAATTGAATAGTGTCCCATCATCTTGATTGTGGGGGGTTAAATCAGCCCACGGTGCTGACAAAATTTCTCTAGGTGTGGTATAAAGTAAAATATCACTAGTTCCCCATTTTACAGGTTCTAATAAAGGGGGGTTTGGAATATATGCCCAGTACGAATGCGGAGGTACCTCATTCCCCGATGCAACGGTGAGCAAGGCACATAAAGCTAAAAACAAGTTTTCAGGGTTTAAAGGCTTTCCTGCTTGAAGGACAAGCCGTTGCCCTTCTATGGTCAATTTCTTTAATTGTCCCCATGTAGGGAGGGGATTTAAATTTGGTCGCTGTGAGCGGCGGGATTTTCTTAGCTGTAATCTGGCCATGGCTGCGATAGGAACAAACTCAGCATCCTCAGCTTCTAGCTGGTTTCGCGCTCGCTTCTGAAGGCACGGTTCCGGTTCCTTGGGGAGTTGTCTCCGGGGCTGGTGAACAGGATCTGGAGACGCGGGTCCTGATCCATCGTCCAGGGACCCACTGCTGAATTCCATTTTCTGTGGAGATATAACCAAAACCTTTCCCCCTATAGAGCAATGTGCCCCTCTCCCATTCAGCCTCTGGAGCTGTTTTAGTCCAAATAGGTTCATTAATCACAAAAGGCTGTTGTTGCTGTTCAAAATGTTTTTCAGCTCTTGTTAATATTTCACCTTGTGGTAAATTGAGAAAATTTAAAATAAACAATGCTTGATGCAGTAATGTTTTTGGACTGTTTTGCAATTTAAACAGTATTGGTATCTGAATATCCTCCTGACTCCTCCTTTTTAATTTTTTAATTTGCAACTTAAGAGTGCCATGTGCTCTTTCAACAATAGCTTGACCCTGGGGGTTATATTCAATCCCTGTAATATGAATAATATTATGGAGATCACAAAATTGTTTAAATGTTCTGCTAGTATAAGCAGGTCCATTATCTGTTTTGATTTTAGAAGGAATTCCCATAACTGCAAAAGTCTCCAATAAATGTACAATAACATTTTTAGTGGATTCTCCCTGTTGAGCAGTAGCCCATAGAAATGAAGAATAGGTATCAATAACTACATGTACATAAGAAAGCCGACCAAAAGAAGGTACATGTGTAATATCCATTTGCCATAATTCATTAGGTTGAGTTCCTCGAGGGTTGACACCTGCGGGAATAATTCTTAAATGTAATGGTCTACAAATAGGGCAGGCTTTTACAATTTGTTTAGCTTTTGTAAAAGGTATCTTATATTTAAGATGCAAATGTCCTGCATTTGCATGATTAAATTGATGTTCTTCAACGGGTGTGGTGAACATAACTAAGGAATCCACTGCATTGTTACCTGATACTAATGGTCCGGGTAACTGAGAATGAGAACGTAAATGAGTAATAAAATAAGAATGATTTCTTTTTTGAACATGTATTTGTAAATTTTGAAATAAAGACAATAAAGCAGGCTTATTAGAATATAACACAGCTGA